TGCTTGCCCTGCCGGCTTTTATTCCTTCTGCGATTTTGCTTTTTACCCAGAATTAGGGGGGGGGGGAGGGGGTGGCATGGGCTCCCCGGGCACCTCCCCTATATCCGCCACTGATAAGCTATATGAGTAGGTGCTGCTTTGAAAGGTATGGTTTAAAGGCAGTTTAGTCTGGTACAGGGTTTAGAAAGTAGACAGCTTTGGTATAGAATGGATGTATTATTTGAAAACGGCCAGGGTAATATTAATTTAGTCTAAAATGGGGTTCTTTAATAACCCGGGGTTCTATAATAGAAATTGAAATTCGGAAGTGACTTCATAAGCTTTTTGGTGTGGTTAGCGTGTGTTGGACTACGTTAGTAACAAAGTTTCTGTATTGAAACTAGCTAGTCTGGGATAGGGTAGGGGTTTTAGTGTCTAGTGTAAGATAGGGTAGCAAAATTAAGTTATTCATGGTCAAGTATAGGGTAAAGGCTTCAGTGACCCAGCGCTACACCCCTACACAGAGATTTAAGTGAGATATAATGGTAATTAATGACAAATGTTTTATTCTATGCTATACCCATTTCCGGCCGTGATTGTGCAAAAGCCGCTCTCTTTCAGACCAAAATTTTTAATTGAATGTTTAAAAACGGTAATAACGTGCGAAGATTGCATCTTGTTGTGTTGGAACTAAGCACGGTTTTGCTTTTACTCACGTCGGTCTGCAAGCTGGCGTTTAAGGCCATCAATCTGTCACCACTGCAATCAGTTGTAACTGTTAACATCAGAATTACTATTGGACCTGAATTAGGAAAGAAAAAAATTGTAATGATACAAAAATCAAAACAACAATATTATCTCAATCAGAAAAAGTTTTTGCCCTTGCAGGACTGATTAATAATAATAATAACAACAACAATAATAATAATAATAATAATAATAATAACAATAATAATAATAATAATAATAACAAATATTTATACAGGATAGCCCTTCAGTGCAAGAGCACTGTTATCAAAGGGGTCCTGTCTAAGGATAAAAACTAAAATAAGATAAGAATGACTTCCTAAATTATTAACTAAACTATACAAAAAATGATCTAAAGACTCCCTAAATAGTACCCTACTGCTAATTTCCTTGATTTTTAAAGGTAAAGAAGTAAAAGCTGAAGCGCCTAAAAAGAAAAAACTTTTTCGAGCAAAGTCAAGTTTCACTTTCTGCAGAGCAATGGTGGTCCCGCTGTTCCTCTTATTAAAATCGTGGGTTAAAAAATTAACATAATTTTTAAAAGGACTACAAACATTGCCTTTTAGGCAATCAAAAACAAATAAACAAGCCTTTTTCTTTAAAATATTTCAATTGTGGATAGGCGGAGTTCACAGTTTAGACATTCGGAGTTTTGCAGAATAATCCTGTGACTTCGTTGTTCCAAGTTTCTTATTTGGCACCTACGTGTCTCTGACCAACCATGCGTAATTTGGCCGCAGTAAGTGAAGATGGGCATTATCATTGCTCTATAGATTCGTTCAGCACTTAAGGTGTCAGTGTTAGAACGGATTCGTCGTAATAAATTCACTCTTCCTGCAGCTTTCTTATATACTTATATATATATATTTTCTTTCTTACATGTTTTGTAAAAGTGCATATCAAGATTCAATGTAGGGTCCAGATGGACACCCAGATACTTGTAATTTGTAGCCATGTCGATACGAGATCCATTTACTGAGAGGTTTAGGTCTGTGCCATCGAAATCGCTTAATCTAATTTGCTTATTCAATAAAAATTTAACGTCACACTTGTTTTTACCATGTAGCTAGCGTAGTGTAACAGTGAATTGGAAGAGATGAAAGCAGTAGCCTGGCTTGGAAACTGCTTCCTCTAACCTTTGTTCTAAGGTTTCCTTTAAGAAGGAATTGCTATCTTTCAAACCTTATCTGCACTCCGTTTATGAAACGAGGGCGCTTGCGAGCTTAAGGGCGAAAGAAAAGGGGCAGGGAGGTCAGCGCCTGCGCTTATCATGCAGCTTTAAAGCATTAGTGATCACAATTTCAGACTTTTCCTAAAATGCCTTTGTCATCAGTCTGTTGTCCCAATTGTTTGGTCACCTGACTTAACATTTCTGCGGTAACCACATTTCAAAAAGGGTCTTTCACCGATAATTGGCATCATTAGCAAACGATTTAAAACAAGATGCATGTTTCCTTTTTTTGGTTACAACACTGCTACTAAACGAACTTTGCATGTCTTTTTCTTTGGCTACAACACTGCTACTAAACGAACCTTGCATGTTTTTTGGTTACAATGCTGCCATAAACGAACCATAGATGTCTTTTTTCGGTTACAAAAGAGCTGCTAAACGAACCTTGCATGTTGTTTTGCTTACAATACTGCCATAAAACGAACCTTCCATGTTTATTTGGTTACAACACTGCTGCTAAACAAACCTTAATTGCACGTGTTTTTGGTTACAACACTGCCATTTAACGAAGCTTGAATGTGTTTTTAAAGTTACGACACTGCTACTAAACAAACCTTGCATGTTTTTTTATTGCAACACGACTACTACATGAACCTTACATTTTTTTTGCTTTTGTTTACAACACTGCTACTAAGCGAACCGTGAACGCTGTTTTTTTGGTTGCAATACTGCTACTAAACGAGCCTTGCATGTTTTTTTTTTTTAATGGTTACAACATCAACACTGCTACTAAACGAACCTTGCAGGTTTTTTTCGGTACCAACACTGCTACTAAACGAACCTTACATCATCATAGTTTTTTTTTTTATTGGTTACAACACTGCTACTAAACTAACCTTGCATTTTGTGTGTGTGTGTGTTACAACACTGCTACTAAGTGAGTCTCACCTGGTGTTGAGGCCACAACACTGCTACTGGGAGTGGATGTCATTTGGGTGGGTGTAGTAGAGATTTCTGTTATCATAGTGCTTGAAGATTCATCTAAAGTTAGGGATAGATTACGTGTAAGAAATCTTAAAATTACAAGAACACTGTCATTCAAAATACCTAGACTTTGCAGAATTTGGTTGGTGCATGGAACTTAAAACAGAAGTAGGTATTAGTAGGTGTAAGTTGTGTTTTGCTATTGTTTTGCATTCACTGTTTTTTGTTTTGCATTTATAGTGTTTATCTCGACTGTAGATCCAGTTTGTATCATTATGGAAAACTATGCCTGTAATGGTTTTCTGCTTTATTCAAAATCAAATTATATAGAGAAGTTTAAGTTCATTTGCATTGCACCGTAGTTTAAGATCTTGGTAACAGCTTTTACTGCAGCAAATAGCGTAGAAATTTGTTAACGTTAGAGTTTTCCTGCTCATCGTTGCCATGGAGATATCGACGGCCCTAACATTGCATATAATCAGTCCAATGATTGGGGCAATTTCTACCGGCTTAATTCGTGTCGAGTAAGAGAAGGCTGGTGAGAAAATGACTGAAAATCTTTTCACTTTTTCAACTGCCCCGGAGAACCAAATTACACATGTAAAGAAACGAGTACCGATTATTGGATTACTTTATTTAAGAAATCGGCTGGAATCGAACTACGAACACATCGATTGAAGAAATTAAGGTGTCTTCAAAAGTATGCTCGGGCTTCACTGTATCAAGACTCTTTCTTCGATGTGTTTGTAGTTCGATTCCAGCCCATTCAGTTTTGGATACATTAATTAATCCTATAATCGGTACTCCTTTCTTTACATTTTCAATTTTGTTCTTCGAGGGATATTGGAGTTTCTCTATTACTACAGAATTCACTTTTGAAATGCGAAACTGAAATAAACTAAGAAGTATTGGATAAGATCAATCAAGGAAACAACACATACCATTCTCTCCAGATCCAGAACCGACCATCTGTTCCATCGCTTTGAGGAAGAACAATTTTATTTTATTTAAGCAATAGACCACTGTTTCTATGGGTTTACCGGTGAAATAAACCAGTTAGGATGTTGGGAGAACCCTTGAAAAGTTTGTAAATCACTAGCCGTTAGGAGAGTGATTTACAAATTTCACGATTGTTCCATCCTCCATCCTTCGATCTATCTTCTGTCTGTCTTTCTGTCTGTAGGTCGGTCGATCGGCCGGTCGGTCGATTGATCGCTCGGTCGCTCGGTCGCTCGGTCGCTCGGTCGCTCGGTCGCTCGGTCGCTCGGTCGCTCGGTTGCTCGGTCGCTCGGTCGATCGATCGGTCAGTCGGTCAAGAGTGTATCATCGATCGAAACATTAAAAGACCCATTACATAACGAAGTATATATCAACTAGGTAAAAGAAATAGGCTGGAATCGAACTACGAACACATCGATTGAAGAAATTAAGGTGTCTACAAAAGTATGCTCGGGCTTCACTGTATCAAGACTCTTTCTTCGATATGTTTGTAGTTCGATTCCAGTCCATTCAGTTTTCGATACATTAATCCAATAATCGGTACTCCTTTCTTTACATTTTCAATTTTGTTCTTCGAGGGCTATTGGAGTTTCTCTATTACTACAGAATTCACTTTCAAAATGCAAAACTGAAATAAACTAAGAAGAATTAGATAAGATCAATCAAGGAAACAATACATACCATTCTCTCCAGATCCAAAACCGGACATGTCTTCTATCGCTTTGGGGAAGAACAATTTTATTTTATTTAAGCAATGGACCACTGTTTCTATGGGTTTACTGGTGCAATAAACCACTTGGGATGGTGGGAGAACCCTTGAAAAGTTTGTAAATCACTAGCCGTTAGGAGAGTGATTTACAAATTTCACGATTGTTCCACCCTCCATCCTTCGATCCATCTTCTGTCTGTCTTTCTGTCTGAAGGTCGGTCGGTTGGTCGGTCGGTCGATCGATCGCTCGGTCGCTCGGTTGCTTGGTCACTCGGTCGCTCGGTCGATCGATCAGTCAGTCGGTCAGGAGTGGATCATCGATCGAAACATTAAAAGACTCATTACATAGCGAAGTATATATCAACTAGGTAAAAGAAATAGGCTGGAATCGAACTACGAACACATCGATTGAAGAAATTAAGGTGTCGACAAAAGTATGCTCGGGCTTCACTGTATCGAGACTCTTTCTTCGATGTGTTTGTAGTTCGATTCCAGTCCATTCAGTTTTGGAAACATTAATCCTATAATCGGTACTCCTTTCTTTACATTTTCAATTTTGTTCTTCGAGGGCTATTGGAGTTTCTCTATTACTACAGAATTCACTTTTGAAATGCGAAACTGAAATAAACTAAGAAGAATTAGATAAGATCAGTCAAGGAAACAGTACATACCGTTCTGTCCAGATCCAGAACCGACCATCTGTGCCATCGCTTTGGGGAAGAACAATTTTATTTTATTTAAGCAATCGACCACTGTTCCTATGGGCTTACTGGTGCAATAAACCACTTGGGATGTTGGCAGAACCCTCGGAAAGTTTGTAAATCACTAGTCGTTGGAAGAGGGGTGTCTGGAAAACCCGAATAGCGAATAGCGAATAGTCGCGAATAGCGAATAGCGAATAGTACGAATAGTACGAATAGTGGTGGATTGTGGCAAATAGTGGCAAATAGTGGCAAATAGTAGCAAATAGGGTACCCAGTATCTCGCAGTCAACCTCGCAACAACTTAGGATGGGATTTTCCCGCTAAAAAGCACAGACGCTTATCAGGACAAAAGGTGTTTCTAAACTTAATTTCTTCTGTTTTAACCACTGCAAAAGCGTAAATACGTCTTTATTAGGTTATCCTTGTGTTTTCTGTTTTCTTAATGTCAGCTATATGGACAGCCTACGTACTAGCCTGAGTCCGGAGAAGAAAAGGTAATAAATAAACCGAAATTCTGTTGCTTATTTGGATAATTAATTAACGCTGGATATTAGATCTAAAGCGGTGACTATTGACGACTATTCGTCACTATTCACCACTTTTCGCGACTGTCCACCACTATTCGCACTTTTCGAGACTATTCGCAGTAATTCGGGATTATTCGCTATTCGCAATTCGCGACTATTCGCTATTCGCTATTCGGGTTTTCCAGACACCCGTTAGAAAAGTGATTTACAAACTTCACGAGTGTTCCATCCTCCATCCTTCGATCCATCTTCTGTCTGTCTGTCTGTCTGTCTGTCTGTCTGTCTGTAGGTCGGTCGATCGGTCGGTCGGTCGGTCGATCGATCGGTTGATCGGTCGGTCGGTCGATCGATCAGTCGGTCGCTTGGTCGCTCGGTCGATCGATCGGTCGCTCGGTCAGGAGTGGTCATCGATCGAAACATTAAAAGACCCACTACATAGCGAAATATATATCAACTAGGTAAGACTGTTAATACATTCCCGTTGTTGTTATGTCAAGAGTTGCTGAAGAACTCTGTCTGGAATAATTGGTTAAGAGGGGTCCTAGCCAGGAGTACAGTCAAAAAAAGATAACAGGATAGCACGGACCATAAAACTACATGCTTCAACGTTTGCGAAGAGAGTTAGGTAATACCAAACAATGCCATGTTTTAAATTGCACTAGTAAAGGCAATAAAAGAGGGCTTACATGTATGTAAAAGATTCTACGATATATCACTTTCTTTTTATTTCAGAATTTAAATTTCTCAACCACTTGGCTGTGGTTTACGAGAACTTCTACCAGAAGTTTCAATCATGCAATAGTTAGGTAAGTCTCTTTTAAACCAAAGCAATCTTTTAAAGGAATGCAATTTTGAATGCAATTTTTTGGCCTCGAAATAGGTCTGAGATGTGATACATGTAACAATTTTCTAAGGTTACGGCAAAAATTTTTCCGTGAAAATGAAACCTTCATCCTTGTATTCGAAGTTTATATGGGATTGATATAAGAGAAATAATTCTTGTTGTACAGTTGTCGTGAACATCTCGCAAATTTATATCGTCCAAATCTGCCCTGATTTTGGTTTACTTACACTTAACAGCACTAAAAGAAACCGTCTTGTCCATTAAACAATAGCGACTAAAACTTTACAGCCTTTTTCCCAAACCGCGCTGCAGTCGACGAGCGTAGTAACGTGACCATTATGCAGAGTATACATACTCGAGGCGTAGCCGAATGGATCCACAAACTACACTAAAAATCCGCGTGTAAGAACCTACAATGTTTTTTGAAGTCTGGCAAAGTAGGTTCTTGTATTTTGAGGTAGTTATTGGCAATTTAGGCTGAGTAGGTTTTTTATTAGGTTCGTAATTTCTACGAAGGAGATTTAGTTATTGATTACCAGAAAAATAAATAAACTTGGCTTTGGTCTTGAATATAAAGTATTTACTGACAACTGTATTATATATTTTCTTGGAATATAAATTTGCCATTTCAAAGTCACACTCCTTAGTTTAAATGTTTATCATAAATTAACTGTAACCCACATACAAGAAACTACTTCATCTGGCTTGGCTAAACAGTTTCTTACATTTTTGTGTATAACAATGGTAAGCTTCTGCCAGCAGGTTCTTAAGAGCCAGTGCCCATAACTATGGACCAGACAACGGCACAAGTCGAAAAATCGATTTTGCTCATTTTTTGCCCATAGATTGGCCCTAGCTAGTAAACAAACGAACCATAGTTAGTTTCTGCTAATGTAGCTTTTTTGGGGAGAAATTTGCGAAAAACGATTTCGATCCGATTGGGCTCAAAATCTACTTCCGGTTTTGCTGAATTTTCCGAATATTTGATTGCTTCGCGCTCCGCAGAACAGCTACTTGAGAATCTTTCAATGG